CTGGATGTGTCACCCCTTGAGGGAATCATGGAATTCTTTGGGCTGGAAGGATCACCCAGTGCCACCCCACGCCATGGCAGGGACACCTCCAGTTGTCCCAGCTTATTCCAGCCTGGCCTTGGACTCTTCAGGGATCTGGGGCAGCCACAGCTTCCCTGGGAATTCCTGATTCCCAAAATCCCGGCTGGGTTTTTAACAAAGTGAGAAGCACCAGCAGTGTGGAGAAGGAGAATTTTATAGGGTGGGATAAACAGAACTCGGGGAGGAATTAGGAACGGAGCCCTGAATCTGCACGGAAGGATTAGGGATATCTCATGGATTAATTAATATCTTATGGCCGTTAATTAATGATGTGGATATAACAGATATATTTAGGAGTATAACATGGATGATGCCGTGCATTGCAGGTGCCACAGAATCCTGGAATCTGGGAATGTTGGGTGGGAAAGAGCCCTGAGGACCCCTCATTCCACCCTCGGAATGTCCCATGACAAAGAGTCCCCGAGCTCTCCGCTCCTTTTTTCCCAAATTCCTCGGAATGCCGCGTGAGGGTCCCTTTAGGAAAGAACATTCCTGGGTGTTGTGTCCAGGGCGTCCCTTGATCCCAAACCTGCTCTGCAGCTCTCTTTGCCCATCCTGGCGTTTGGGCGCCGTCTGGAGCTTCGGAGCGCTCCCGGTGAATTCCCGGATAAACCCACATCCCCTGCAGTATCCCTGCCCGTTCCTTAGCTCAGATTTTTCTGGGAATCCCGTTCCTCTATCCTGGAGTTTGGGCGCCGTCTGGAGCTCCCGGTGAATTCCCGCCGTGAAATCTGCACGTTCCCGTTCTCCCGGATAAACCCACATCCCCTGCAGTATCCCTGCCCGTTCCTTAGCTCAGATTTTTCTGGGAATCCCGTTCCTCTGTATTTTTTTATCACTGACACCTCGGATTTTCCCCGGATTCCTCTTCCCGGTGCCCTTTATCCCTGGTACATTCCAAGGACAGGAAGGGTGAGCCAAGATCGATGGGAGTTTTTGCTGCTCTCCCGGCGATATTTCCAGCCTGAAATTCCACGCCATCCCCGAGGAGAAGAAAAAAAATCCCCAAACCAGGGATTGCCTCCCAAAATTGTTCTTCCCGTCGCGTGGCCTCGGGCCCCGGCTCCGAGGAATTTTCAGCTTCCTCTCCTCGTTAAATATCCATATTCTCCCGCCAGCCTGGGAAGAAACGGGCGTTTTGTTTCAATAAATCCCTAATTTAATTAGGGAAGTTTATTATTCCGCTCGCAATTAGCGCGTGGATTCGATATCCAGCTTATTAATCCCCGCGACGTTAAGGGATCGTGCCGCTGCCTACGGAACGGGGCAGCTTCCCTTCGGATCTTCTCCTTCGGGGACGAGGGCAGGAAAACATCCCCGGGGAAAACGGGTGACACGAGGGACAGCTTCCCTTCGGATCTTCTGCTCCGGGGACGGGAGCAGGGAGAGAAAACACCCCTGGGGAGCGCCGGGAAGGGATCCTGATGGGATCGGGGCAATCCCACCTTCCCGCTGGCTGCCCTGTGTGCCAGGCAGCGTTCTGGGGGCGTTTGGGATTTTCGGCCCCACCCGTGCCCCCGATTTTCCCGCCGGTTCCCGGCTTTGCCGATCTTTCCGTTCCCGTTTCCCCGCTCGCCTCGGCCTCGATTTCCCTTCCGATTTTTTTCCCCGACATCAAATCCCTGATTTCCCCCTCGCTTTTGTTGTCCGGCCTCGCCGCGGAACGCTTTCCGTTTTCCTTTGTGCCGGAAAACCTTGCCAAGCTCCCGGAGACGTTGGGCAGGGCAGCAGGGCTTGAGCCCGGCTTGGCTGAGCCCGGCTCGGGCAGGAACACCTGGGCTCCGTGGGGACCTTGTGCCCGTGCCAGCTCGGTGCCCGCGGGAGCGCCCGGAGCAGCCGGAGCGCCGGCGCCACACAAAGGGATGAGCTCCCGCCAGCTGTTCCCGGTGCCAGGGATCTGCTCCTGCAAGCGGGAAAATTCCCCTCCGTTCCCCCTCTGGTTTTTATTTCCTTTCTCTCTACCAAAGAATAAAATTTTCCAAAGTTCTGCAAAAATTCGGGAGCGCTCTGCTGGTTAATAATCCGCCCCTGGGATAATGAGTTGAGCAGGAGATTTTTAATCCCGTTTTGCCTGGGAAAAACTCGGGAAGTTGTCCACAGAGAAAACAGGGCAGACATCAATAAATCTTTTTCTATTTTTTATAGGTTTTTTTTTTTTCCACCGGTGAGGTGCTCGCAGGATAGACAGGAGAAAAAAAAAAAAAAAAACCCTCGTTTATTTCCACGAGGTTTTCCTCGGATAATTGAGAATTCCCCACAAAATTGTAGCCGAAACGAGGCAATTTGGGATCTCTGAGGGGAAAAAAAGCCCCGTTTTTTAAAGGATAATCGATCGGCGCTCGGAGCCGTTCGCTCCCCTCGGCCCTTCCGTCCTCCCTTTCTCCTGCAACCCGAGTGGAAGAGAATTTGGGATGCCAAAATTCAGGACTGGGGCCGGTTCGGGTGCCTGGAGCATCCCCCAGCAGCAGAAATTCCCATTCATTGGGATTTGGGAATTTCAGCCCGTCCTGTGGCTCGGAAGTCGATCCCAAATATGCTCCCGGTTCCCGGCTGGGTTTGGGAATTCTCCTTTAATTTGGCATTAAATTCGTCGTTTATTTTGCCATTTATTTGTCATTTAATTTGTCCTTAAAGGGGAGCGCGTCGTGCTCCTTCCCCGTCGGACGATCCTTAATTCCTAAAAAAAAAAAATTAAAAAATCCAGGAATAAAATAATAGATGGATCAAAATCACAGCTGGATACGTGGAGCTGTTCAAATTCCAATTCCCAAGAATTTCTGCTCTCCCCGGGCCGAGTTCCCCTGAGTCTAAGCAACCCCAAATATCAGGAATTCGGATATTCCAGTTGGGATGAATCCCTTCAAAAAAAACGTTTCAAGGGGAAATCCGGGGAAATTTGAGAATTTCCAGAAATCCCCAAAGCGCCCTTTCACCAAGGATGGCACGAGCGGCGTTTACCCTTCGGAAGCGGCCGCGATTCCCTAATTAATTTCCCCGCGGAAGGATGACAAAGCACAAAGGGGAGAGATTTTGGGAGAGAAGAGATTTATTTTTATTTTTTTTTTTCCCGGAGCTGGAATCCCGCGTTCGCCGGGAAAACAAGAGTTCCTTTGTCTGCGCCGTGCCGGCGTCGCGGCCGCTCCTGGATCGTCCCCATCTCTACCCCGGCACCTCCGCCTTTGTCCCCAAAACCTTCCGAGGGTCGGGACGGGCGGAACCTTTTCCCCCGAGCCTGCACCTCGTCCTCCCGTCCCTCCGTGTCCCCCTCCCGGCTCCCCGGCTCTCCCGGCGCGATATTTTCTCCCGGAAGCCGCGGCCGCGCGGGGAAGAGCGGCCGACGCTTTCCCTCCCGCCTCTTTTGAGGAGTTGTAGCCATGGGGCTTTGGCACCGGCACCGTTGTCTTTGTGCCAAAAAATATCCGCAGCGGCTGCCGCATTCTCCGACCGGAGGCTTGGCTCGAAAATTCCGCAGTGGATGCGGCGGGAAGCGACGGCGCCGGAGCCGCCGCTCGCTCTCTCCTCGAGCTTTTTCTTTTTTTTTTATTTTGTTGGTTTTGAACCCTTCCGAATGGAAAACCTCAACCTGGAGCTTTCCCCAGCCCAGGAAAACGCCAGGCACGGGCATTGTTAAGGGGAGAAGCTTTTCTTGCGGCTTCTCCGGCGCTCGGCGCGTGCCGGGGAACGGCAGGGGAAACGTGATTTGGGGAAAAGGGGCTGCCCCCCTCCCGCCCCACCGGGAATGGGGTTGTGATTTGATCAGTCTGGGTGACAAGCGACAATCTCCCCCCGGATGGGTTCCTTGAGTTGTCCCCAAACCCGGGGCTTTGTCCCCGAAGGGCGCGCGGAGCCGAGGCGGAACTCGCTCGGGAGCCACGGGCTCGGTGGGAAAAGTGGATGCTGGAGATGCAATCTTTTCCAAGGAGCATAATCCTAAAAAAAAAAAAGAAAAAAAAAAAAAAAAAGTCAATCTCCCGCTGGCTGCGGAGCCGCTTTGGTACCTCACAGACTTCGACAGAGTGCTGGCCGAGTGCCCATTGATGTCATGGAAACACTCAAATTACTGGGAATGATTCATGTCTCCGCTGTTCCCGATTCCTCCCCCACACAAATAGGAGTGGATCTGATCCCTGACAACTTGTAATTTGCAGGGGGTTTATTTTTGTATCGGGATAAATATTTTTTCACAACTGAAATTAAGCCGAGCCTGAGCCGATGGCAAAGGAGCTTCCGGAACGCGGGCGGGAACGCGGGGCTGCTCGTCCCGCTTCTCCCGGGGGGTTTGTTGCCCCCGTGTTCCCCGTTTCCAGCCCTCCCGGGGTGGTGGGAGCAGCACCCGGACTCGGAGCCGTCCGTTCCCGGTTCAACGGCACGGGTTTCCAGAGCTTTGTCCGTGGGTTTGGGATCCAAAGTTCTCGTAGCGGCCTCGCTGGGCGGCTTCACGTGGGAAACGATCCACACGCCAAAGCTCAGGGAGGAGGAGGAGGAGGAGGAATTTTCAATTCCAAAACACTGGGAATAATATCCGAGGAGGTGGCACCTGATGTTTGTCCCCTGTCCCAAGGGTGCCCTGGGACAGCTTTGGGATCAGCCCTCTCCGGTGCTCTTTGTCTCGCCGTGGGGCGGTGCTGCTCGGCCGTGACTTCGCTCCCCGCTCCGAGCTCCTCTTCCGTCCCAAAAATCTCCGGGATGGGAAACGGGAGAAGGGAAAGCAGGGCTGCAAGGTGGCCCTGAGCTCCCAGCCCCGCTCGGGAGGTGAAGGTGGGATGTGGACAATTCCCCGTTTCCCGTGGGACGTGAAGGTTTTGTCCTCGTTCACCCTGGGTCACGCTCGGGAATCGCCGCCGGCCGGGTTAGGCTCGGCTTAACTCCCCGTCCGTTCCCCTCGGATTCACCGGGAATTTTTTTTCCTCTCCTGCCAGGTAAAACAGAACGAGGCTCGTACTCATCATATGGCCGAGATTCCAACCTCCAGGGCTGCCACCAGGTGAGTGAAAAACCCGGCATTCCCGGCTTTTCCCGCCCTAAATCCCGCTTTTCGCCGGCCGCGCTTGCGGAAAGGGAAGCTCGCATCGAGGGCTAAGGAAACACGATTCGTTATCCCTCTTTTTTTTTAATTTGGGAATCGCTTTTGGCTGGAAGTCAAGGCCGGCAGGGTAACGGAGAAACCTTCCCGAGGGGAAGAGCGCTGGAAGGAAATGACAAAATGCCGGCGGAACGCGAAGGTGCAGAAATTTCTGCGCCTCTCAAAATTTTACATCTCGGGGAAAGGCTCCGGAGGAACCGGGAGCCTGGAAAAGCGCCGTGCGTGGCCAAATTCCTTTCTTGTCAGGGCCCTTAAATTCCTCCTGCTCTTCCCGAGGAATTTCACGGCTTCCTTCCTCTTCCAAAATCTCCAAGGAAAAAATTCGCAAAGCAGATGCAGAATGATTTCCTCCGGGGTGGGGGAAAAAGGGAAAGGTGGGATTTGGGAATGTGAGGAAGGGATTGGGAACCGTGTTGGGAATTCCAGGTGCGGGTGGGAACGTTCCGTGGTTCCACAACCCGGCGTTCCCTGTGGGAAAGGCGCTCGTGAGGAAGAGGAGGCCGTTTGTGAGCCGTCTTCTTCCCGCCTCTGGAATTCTGGGAGAGTCATGGAAAAGGAAAGGATCTCCTCCCACTATCCCAACCCAAAGGAATCCGTGTCCTTGGCATCGGCTGCAGAGGGTTCTGAATTCCCTTTCCTTCTCCTTTTCCTTCTCCTTTTCCATTTCCTTTTTCCTTTTCCTTTTCCTTCTCCTTTTCCTTTTCCTTTTCTTCCCTTTCCTTTTCCTTTTCATTTTCCTTCTCCTTTTTCTTTTCCTTCTCCTTTTCCTTTTCCTTCTCCTTCTCCTTCTCTTTTTCTTTTTCTTTTCCTTTTCCTCTTCCTTCTCCTTCTCCTTTTCTTTCCTTTTCCTTCTCCTTTTCCTTCTCCTTCTCCTTCTCTTTTTCTTTTTCTTTTCCTTTTCCTCTTCCTTCTCCTTCTCCTTTTCTTTCCTTTTCCTTCTCCTTTTCCTTCTCCTTCTCCTTCTCTTTTTCTTTTTCTTTTCCTTTTCCTCTTCCTTCTCCTTCTCCTTTTCTTTCCTTTTCCTTCTCCTTTTCCTTCTCCTTCTCCTTCTCTTTTTCTTTTTCTTTTCCTTTTCCTCTTCCTTCTCCTTCTCCTTTTCTTTCCTTTTCCTTCTCCTTTTCCTTCTCCTTCTCCTTCTCTTTTTCTTTTTCTTTTCCTTTTCCTCTTCCTTCTCCTTCTCCTTTTCTTTCCTTTTCCTTCTCCTTTTCCTTCTCCTTCTCCTTCTCTTTTTCTTTTTCTTTTCCTTTTCCTCTTCCTTCTCCTTCTCCTTTTCTTTCCTTTTCCTTCTCCTTTTCCTTTTCCTTTTCCTTTTCCTTTTCCTTTCCTCTTCCTTTTCCTTCTCCTTTTCCTTCCTCTTCCTCTTCCTCTTCCTCTTCCTCTTCCTCTTCCTCTTCCTCTTCCTCTTCCTTTTCCTTCTCCTTTTCCTTCCCCTTCCTCTTCCTCTTCCTCTTCCTCTTCCTCTTCCTTCCCCTTCCCCTTTTCCTTCCCCTTCCCTTCCCACAGTATCCAAAAAAATTCCCAATCCAAGAATTCCCAACCCTAAAATTCTCCCTAATCCAGGTGGGAATGATCCCTAAAAATTCAAACACATGAAAACAGCAGGCTGGGATTTTTTTGGGGGGGAATTTTTCCTTAAAATTTGATCCCTAAAAATGAAAAAAAATTAAATTATTAGGTTTTTTTTTAGCTGAGATTCCACTCTTTTTTTGGGAATTTGCTGAGGAATTTGCCCGCCATTCAGGTGGGCACCTGGAGGGGAGTTTTGGAATTTTTTTTCCTGGTTTTTGTTGTTTTTTTTTGTTTTCCTGGGAAAAGCTCCAATTAGGGAGAGCGGGAGCAGCCGGGTCAGGGGCATCCCGAGGGTTCCACAAAGCCGGGAAAAACCGGGAATAATCCCGGGATAATACCGGGCTTTGATCCCGCAGGAATGTTAATTGAGGGAGAGGAGAGAGGGTGAGGGGGGAGACCTAAAAAAAATCCTGGGAATGCCATCCTAAAGGGAATTCTTGGGAATGCCATCCTAAAGGGAATGGGTTGGTTTGGGGGAATCCCTAAAAAAGCGGGAAATTGGGATTGGGGAGGGGAAGGGAAATTGGGATTGAGGAGGAGGAAAATTGGGATTGAGTTGAAGGAATTGAGATGGGGAAGGAAATTTGGGATTGAGGTGAAGGAAAATTGGGATTGAGGTGGAGGAAAAGTGGGATTGAGGGGAAGGAATTGAGATAGGGAAGGAAAATTGGGATTGAGGAGAGAAAGGAAAATTGGGATTGAGCTGAAGGAAAATTGGGATTGAGAAGGGGAGGGAAAACTGGGATTGAGGATGGGAAGGAAAATTGGGATTGAGGTGAAGGAAAATTGGGATTGAGAGGAAAGGAAAGTGGGATTGAGGAGGAGGAAAATTGGGATTGAGGAGGAGGAAAATTGGGATTGAGGAGGAGGAAAATTGGGATTGAGGAGGAGGAAAATTGGGATTGAGGAGGAGGAAAATTGGGATTGAGGAGGAGGAAAATTGGGATTGAGGAGGAGGAAAATTGGGATTGAGGAGGAGGAAAATTGGGATTGAGGAGGAGGAAAATTGGGATTGAGGAGGAGGAAAATTGGGATTGAGGAGGAGGAAAATTGGGATTGAGGAGGAGGAAAATTGGGATTGAGGAGGAGGAAAATTGGGATTGAGGAGGAGGAAAATTGGGATTGAGGAGGAGGAAAATTGGGATTGAGGAGGAGGAAAATTGGGATTGAGGAGGAGGAAAATTGGGATTGAGGAGGAGGAAAATTGGGATTGAGGAGGAGGAAAATTGGGATTGAGGAGGAGGAAAATTGGGATTGAGGAGGAGGAAAATTGGGATTGAGGAGGAGGAAAATTGGGATTGAGGAGGAGGAAAATTGGGATTGAGGAGGAGGAAAATTGGGATTGAGGAGGAGGAAAATTGGGATTGAGGAGGAGGAAAATTGGGATTGAGGAGGAGGAAAATTGGGATTGAGGAGGAGGAAAATTGGGATTGAGGAGGAGGAAAATTGGGATTGAGGAGGAGGAAAATTGGGATTGAGGAGGAGGAAAATTGGGATTGAGGAGGAGGAAAATTGGGATTGAGGAGGGGAGGGAAAACTGGGATTGAGGATGGGAAGGAAAACTGGGATTTAGGAGGAAAAGGAATATTGGGATTGAGGAGGGGAGGGAAAACTGGGATTGAGGTGAAGGAATTGATCAGGTGAAGGAAAATTTGGATTGAGGATGGGAAGGAAAACTTGGATTGAGGAGGGAAAGAAAAATTGGGATTGAGGGGAAGGAAAACTGCGATTGAGGTGGAGGAAAATTGGGATTGAGAAAGGGAAGGAAAACTTGGATTGAAGAGGGGTGGGAAAATTGGGATTGGGGAGGTGAAAGACTTGAGCAGGTGAAGGAAAACCAGGATTGAGGAGGAGAAGGAAAATTGGGATTGAGGAGGAGGAAAATTGGGATTGAGGAGGGGAGAGAAAACTGGGATTGAGGAGAGGAAGGAAAATTGGGATTGAGGTGGAGGAAAATTGGGATTGAGCAGGTGAAGGAAAACCAGGATTGAAGATGGGGAAGGAAAACCGGGATTGAGGAGAGAAGGAAAATTTGGATTGAGGAGAGGAAGGAATTGAGGATGTGAAGGAAAGTTGGGATTGAGGTGAAGGAAAATTGGGATTGAGGTGAAGGGAAATTGGGATTGAGGAGGTGAAAGACTTGAGCAGGTGAAGGAAAACCAGGATTGAGGATGGGAAGGAAAATTGGGATTGAGGAGGAGGAAAATTGGGATTGAGGTGGAGGAAAATTGGGATTGAGGATGGGAAGGAAAACTGGGATCGAGGAGGTGAAGGAAAATTGGGATTGAGGTGAAGGAATTGATCAGGTGAAGGAAAATTGGGATTGAGGAAGGGAAGGAAAACCAGGATCGAAGATGGGAAGGAAAACTGGGATTGAGGAGGGGAAGGAATTGAGGATGTGAAGGAAAATTGGGATTGAGGAGGGGAGGGAAAACTGGGATTGAGAGGAAAGGAAATTGGGATTGAGGTGGAGGAAAATTGGGATTGAGGAAGAGAAGGAAAACCGGGATCGAGGAGGTGGAGGAATCGAGCCGGGAATGCTCCGACCCCAACCCCTTTTCCTTGGGGAAAAATCTCCGTCCTTCCCAATTTCTTCCCCTTTTCTGCTGCCTGCTCAACTCCAAAAAAAAATAAATCCCAATTTCCCCGGGGAATTTCCCTTCGAATCCCGGGGTTTGCCGTTAAATTTTGGGATTTGCTTTCAGCAAATTTTCCTCTCTCTCTGTGTGTGTGTCCCGAAAAATTTGGAAACGTTCCTTCCTCGAGTGGGAGAATTCTCCGGGAAAATTTGGGATGGAATTTTTTCCCAATTTCCCTCCCCTCCCCCTACGCACCCTTTCCCTTCTCCCGTAATAATCGGAATTTTGGGGTTTTTTTTTTTGTTTTTTTTTTTCTTTTCCCGTAGCTTTTTCCAGAGGAAAAAGTCGGGATGAGGAAGCCAAAGCTCCGTGGGGTACGTGGATTTTTGTTTTTCCTTTTTCTGGGAAACCTCAAAATGTTGATTTTTTTTTTGGGGAGGGGGACGAGGCGAGAGCTGGATTTTGGGATTAAATTTTGATTTTCCAAAGGTTTTCCATCTTAAAAACTGGGAAATTCTCGGAGATATTCCCGAAAATTGTGGGGTTTTTTCCAAGATATTCCCGACATCCCTGGAGCTGTGGCCTCTTCCTCATTCCCGTTATCCCACAGTTTCCAAAAATTCCCAGATCCAAAAATTCTCCCAAATCCAAGCGGGAACGGTCCCTAAAAAATTCAGATACGGGGAAAGCAGCGGGAGGGGATTTTTGGGAGGATGGAGAAGGAATTTTTGGGAGGATGGAGAGGGAATTTTGGGAGGATGGAGAAGGAATTTTTGGGAGGATGGAGAGGGAATTTTGGGAGGATGGAGAAGGAATTTTGGGAGGATGGAGAGGGAATTTTGGGAGGATGGAGAAGGAATTTTGGGAGGATGGAGAGGGAATTTTGGGAGGATGAAGTAGGAATTTTGTGAGGATGGAGATGGAATTTTTGGGAGTATGTAGAGGGAATTTTTGTCAGGATGGAAAGGGAATTTTGGGATGATGAAGAGGGATTTTTGGGAGGATGGAGAAGGAATTTTTGGGAGGATGAGGAGGGAATTTTGGGAGGATGGAGATGGAATTTTTGGGAGGATGGAGAGGGAATTTTGTGAGGATGGAGAGGGAATTTTTGGGAGTATGGAGAGGGAATTTTGTGAGAATGCAGGGGGAATTTTGGAAGGATGAAGATGGGATTTTTGTGAGGATAAAGAGGGAATTTTTTTGAGGATGAAGTAGAATTTTGTGGGAGTATGTAGAGGGAATTTTTGTCAGGATGGAAAGGGAATTTTGGGATGATGAAGAGGGATTTTTGGGAGGATGGAGAAGGAATTTTTGGGAGGATGAGGAGGGAATTTTGGAAGGATGAAGATGGGATTTTTGGGAGGATGAAGAGGGAATTTTTTTGAGGATGAAGATGGGAATTTTGGGATGATGGAGAGAGAATTTCTGTGAGGATGAAGAGCGGATTTTTGGGAAGATGCATAGGGAATTTCTGTGATGATGAACGGGATTTTTGTGATGATGAAGAGGGAATTTTTGGGAGGATGAACAGAGAATTTTGTGACGATGAAGAGAGAATTTTTGTGAGAACAGAGAGGGAATTTTGTGAGGATGAAGAGGGAATTTTTGGGAGGATGGAGATGAAATTTTCGTGAGGATGCAGACAAAATTTCTTTGAGGATGGAGAGGGAATTTTACGATGATGAAGAGGGAATTTTGTGACGATGGGGAAGGAATTTTGTGAGGATGAAGAGGGAATTTTGTGAGGATGAACAGAGATTTTCCGTGAGGACGGAGAGGAGATTTTGTGAGGATGAAGAGGGAATTTTGTGATGATGGATAAGGGATTTTTGTGAGGATGTAGATGGGATTTTTGGGAGGATGAAGAGGGAATTTTGTGACGACGAAGAGGCAATTTTTATAAGGACATAGAAAGGATTTTTACCGGTATGAAGCAGAAATTTTGTGACGGCGGGGAGAGAATTTCTGCGAGGATGATGATGATGATGATGATGATGATGATGATGGAGGACATCCCGTGCCGGACACGGGAAGAGATTTTAGCGCTCTTGGACAGCGGGGCTGAGCGAGTTGGGGACGGATTGATGGATGGACGGATTGATGGATGGACGGATGGATGATGGATGGATGGATGGATGATGGATGGATGGATGGATGGACAGACGGACAAACATCTCCCCAATCTCTCCCCATTCCCCCCCTCTCTCCCCCCACCCCGCCACCCCAAACCAATCCGCGCCGGCGCCGAACGGGTTAAACCCCGCGCGCGGGGGCCCAGCCGTAATTGGCCTATTTAGGGCTCATTTGCATATGAATGGCGCGCCAGCGAAGCAGCGCTAAGTCTGTTGTGAGTGACACGGTGATTAGAATTTCGATTAGGGCAAACACAGCCCCGCGCTCCCCGCGCTAATTGCTCGGCGCGCGCTTGATTAGCGGAGCCCCCCGAAGTCGGGATTTGGGGGGGATCGCAGTGCGGGAGCTGCGCCTATAGGAGGTGGATGGATCGGGATGCTTACAGCCCTCGATGTATAGATGGATAATGCAGGTCCTCATCCATCAGGGTGTCACGGGTGTTCGATGTATAGATGGATGGTATTGGATGTATAGATGGATGATATTGGATGTATAGATGGATAATTCAGGTCCTTATCCATCAGGGTTTCAGTGATATTGGATGTATAGATGGATAATTCAGGTCCTTATCCCAGGGTGTCACCGGTGTTCGATGTGTAGATGGATGATATAGGATGTATAGATGGATAATGCAGGTCCTCATCCATCAGGGTTTCACTGATATTGGATGTATAGATGGATAATTCAGGTCCTCATCCCAGGGTTTCACCGGTGTTCGATGTATAGATGGATGATATTGGATGTATAGATGGATAATCCAGGTCCTTATCCATCAGGGTGTCACCCATATTTGATGTATAGATGGATAATTGGGATGGTTTAGGGATTGGGGTTTTGCTGTTTCACCTATATTGAGGTATAGATGGATAATATTTAATGTATAGATGGATAATTCAGGTCCTCATCCGTCAGGGTTTCACGGGTGTTCGATGTATAGATGGATGGTATTGGATGTATAGATGGATAACTCAGGTCCTCATCCATCAGGGTTTCACCGGTGTTTGATGTATAGATGGATAATATTTAATGAATAGATGGATAATTCAGGTCCTCACCCCCCAGGGTTCCACGGGTGTTCGATGTATAGATGGATGGTATTGGATGTATAGATGGATAATTCAGGTCCTTATCCCAGGGTGTCACCCATATTTGATGTATAGATGGATGGTATTGGATGTATGGAATGGATAATTCAGGTCCTTATCCCCCAGGGTTCCACCGATATTTGATGTATAGATGGATGATATTGGATGTATAGATGGATAATTCAATATATATATATATAATGTATCCCATATTTGACGTATAGATGGATAATATTTGATGTATAGATGGATAATCCAGGTCCTTATCCCAGGGTGTCACCGATATTTGATGTATAGATGGATGATATTGGATGTATAGAATGGATAATTCCTGTAATTGAATACATTATATATTGAACATATTATAATTGAATATATTATAATTGAATATATTATATATTCAGTATATTATGTATTGAATACATTATATATTGATTACATTATATATTGAATATATTATATATTGATTACATTATATATTGAATACCTTATATATTGAATATACTATAATTGAATATATTATGTATTGAATGCATTCTACATTGAATAGATTATAATGGAATACATTATATATTGATTACATTATATATTGAATAGATTACATATTGATACATTATATATTGAATATATTATATTTAATACGTTGCATACATCACACTTTCTATTTAATGCATTCTATATAATGCACTCTGTTTAATACATGATTTATTAATATATTCTATATAATACATTATATGTTAATACACTAATAATTACATGTTTTGTACATTCTATATAATGCATTCTATATAATACATGATATATAGTACATTATATGTAATACATTGTAAATATATAAGACATTACATATTAACACTATTATATTATATACATTATATATATATATATAATGTATCCTATATAATAATATAATATGTATATATGTGCACATTATAAGACATTACATATTTACGCTATATTAATATATTAATTAACATAAAATACATTACATAGATAATTATATAGAAATCATTCTATATGCAATATTTAATAAATAATACATCATACATAATATACAATACATAAAAAATCCACTCTCGATCAATACATACTAATTAATACATCGCATATAGCACATCCTATAGAAAATACATTCTCCATATGGTACATTGTATAGAACATACATTCCAATGGAATTCACAATTTAATGAATTTAATGAACATTACGTAATAAATTCTATATAAATTATACGTAACACATTCTATATAAATAATACATAATCCATTCTATACATTACGCTTCTATATAAAACACATAATATTGAATATTTATGTACCATCCATTCTATACATGATATTCCATATGAAGCACATTCATGTAGAATCCAAATATAATTACCCTAAATTAATTACCTAATTAACACATTCTATATTTTCTATATGATGCCCCTACTTCCCATCCTCTGCGCATTACCCGTGTTTTATACATTTGATTTTATACATTATTTTATAGCGATTTGATATCATTTAACCCCTTCCATCCCAACCCAAACCCCAACGGATTTCATTTTACAGTCCATATATTTGATACCATTTGATATCAAATTTATTTGATATCATTTAACCCCTTCCATCCCAACCCAAACCCCAAAAGATTTCACCCCCAAAACGGAGCCGCCTCATCCCCACAGAGAAAATCGGGAATTTTATCCCAAAAATCCCAATAAAATCCCTTTCAGAGCTTCCTGATTTTCCCGAGTGCAAATTCCCGACCCCACAATTCCCGGGAATTTTCACGGGAATGGGAATTGGGAATTGGGGTGGGGTCTCCGTGAACGTTCCCGGTTATTTGTAGGGCTGCAAGGAGCTGATTGGGATTGGGATTGGGATTGGGGTTGGGATTGGGATTGAGATTGGGGTTGGGATTGGGGTTGGGATTAGGATTGAGGTCAGGATCAGATTTGGGATTGGGATCAGGGTAAGGATTGGGATTGGGATTGAGATCAGGATCAGGATTGGGATTGAGATCAGGATTGGGATTGGGATTGGGATCAGCATCACAATTGGGATTGCGGTTGGGATTGGGATCAGGATTGGGATTGGGATTGGGGTTGGGATTGGGATCAGGATCACAATTGGGATTGGGATTGGGATTGGGATTGTGATTGGGGTTGAGATCGGGATTGGGATTGGGATTGGGATCAGGATCACAATTGGGATTGGGGTTGGGATTGGGATCAGGATCAGGACTGGGATTGGAGTTGAGATCAGGGTCAGGATCACAAATGGGATTGGGATTGGGGTTGGGATTGGGATCAGGATCACAATTGGGATTGTGGTTGGGATTGGGATCAGGATCAGGATCACAAATGGGATTGGGATTGGGGTTGGGATCAGGATCGGGATTGGGATTGGGGCTGGGATCAGGATCAGGATCAGGATTGGGATCAGGGTCAGGATCGCGATTGGGATTGGGATCAGGATCGGGATTGGGATTGGGATTTGGATCAGGATTCGGATCAGGATCGGGATTGGGATCAGGATCAGGATCGTGATTGGGATTGGGATTGGGATTGGGATTTGGATCAGGATTGGGATCAGGGTCAGGATCGCGATTGGGATTGGGATCAGGATCGGGATTGGGATTGGGATTTGGATCAGGATTGGGATCAGGATCGGGATTGGGATTGGGATTTGGATCAGGATCAGGATTGGGATCAGGGTCAGGATCGCGATTAGGATTGGGATCAGGATCGGGATTGGGATTGGGATTTGGATCAGGATCAGGATTGGGATCAGGGATCAGGATCGCGATTGGGATTGGGAATCAGGATCGGGATTGGGGTTGGGACCAGGGTCAGGATCGCAATTGGGATTATGATTTGGATTGGGATCAGGATTGGGATCAGGATCAGGATCGTGATTGGGATTGGGATCGGGATCAGGATTGGGATTGGGGTTGGGATCAGGATCAGGATCATGATTGAGATCAGGATCAGGATCAGGATTGGGGGTGGGATCAGAGTCAGATCCTGATTGGGATCAGGATCGGGATTAGGGTTGGGGTTGGGATCAGGGTCAGGATTGGGATTGGGATTAGGGTCAGAATTGGGATTGGGATCAGGACCAGGATCGGGGTTGGGGTTGGGATCAGGGTCAGGATCTCAATCAGGATTGGGATTGGAATCAGGGTCAGGATTGGAGTTGGGATCAGGATTGGGGTCAGGATCGGGGTCGGGGTCGAGGTCGGGGTCGGATCCCAGAGCGGTGTGTTCCCTGTGCAGCAGAGCCTGCTGGGAGGGGACATGGAGCTGGCCACGCCCGGGGCGCTGTCCCCCAGCAAGCCGGGCTCCCAGTTCTACCAGTACGGGGGCAGCGCGCGCCGGAGACCCCTGCACGGCTCCTCCATGGGTGAGCATCCCAATCCCATTAATCCCAGTGATCCCAGTAACCATCCATGGTAGAGCGACCCCAAAAATCCCATAAATCCCATCCCAATCCCAGTAATCCCAGTAATCCCAGTAAGCCTCCGTGGGAGTGACCCCATAAATCCCATAAATCCCAGTGATCCCAATAACCCAGAGACCCTTGATGGGTGAGTGACCCCAAAAATCCCATAAATCCCATCCCAATCCCAGAATTCCCAGTAAGCCACAGAGCCTCCATGGATGACTGATCCCATCAATCCCATAAATCCCATAAATCCCATCCCAATCCCAGTAATCCCAGTGATCCCAGTAACCCTCCATGGGAGTGATCCCATAAATCCCATAAATCCCAATCCCTCTAATCCCATTAATCCCAGTAACCCTGCATGGGAGCGACCCCATAAATCCCATAAATCCCAATCCCATTAATCCCAGTGATCCCAGTAACCATCCATGGTAGAGCGACCCCATAAATCCCATAAATCCCAATCCTAATCCCACTAATCCCAGTAACCCCCCATGGTTGAGAGATCCCATAAATCCCAATCCTAATCCCACTAATCCCAGTAACCCTCCATGGTTGAGAGATCCCATAAATCCCATAAATCCCAATCCTAATCCCAGTATTCCCAGTGACCCTCCATGGATGAGTGACCCCAAAAATCCCATAAATCCCAATCCTAATCCCACTAATCCCAGTGACCCTCCATGGATGAGTGACCCCATAAATCCCATCCCAATCCCATAATTCCCAGTATTCCCAGTGACCCTCCATGGGAGCGACCCCATAAATCCCATAAATCCCAATCCCATTAATCCCAGTGATCCCAGTAACCATCCATGGTAGAGCGACCCCATAAATCCCATAAATCCCAATCCTAATCCCACTAATCCCAGTAACCCCCCATGGTTGAGTGACCCCATAAATCCCAGAAATCCCAGAATTCCCAGTATTCCCAGTGACCCTCCATGGATGAGTGACCCCATAAATCCCATCCCAATCCCATCCCAATCCCATCAATCCCAATCTTCCCATTCCAGCCCCAAAATCCCCCAAAAAATCCCCGTTCCTAATCCCCTTTTTCCCTTTTTTCCAGAAGTTCAGACAAAGAAAGTTCGGAAGGTGCCTCCGGGTTTGCCGTCCTCCGTAAGTTCCGGGAATTTTTTGGGAATTTTACCGGGAAAAACTCGTCAGATTTTGGGAATTTCCCCATTTCCAGCCCCGTTTTTTGGGGGTTTTTTATGGGGTTTTTGTGGAAATCCCATAAAACCCGGGAGGATTTGTAGGAATTCTCCGGAATTCCCGACCCCGCAGCGCAAAATGAGGCAAAAAAATGAATTTTATTTAATTAGATTCAAATTTGCCAGCGTGGTCACTGGAAAATGATATTCGGCCTCATTTGCATATCATTTGGATATTGATTGCACCTCATTTGCATATATTTTGGGTATCGATACTGCCTCGTTTGCATATTGGTCTGATATCGTCGTGCTGCTGTCGATACTGCCTCATTTGCATACAGTTGTGATACCGAGCCTAATTTGCATATCATTCTGATATCAGTGGAGCATCATTTGCATAGACTGTTGATATCGATGGTGCCTAATTTGCATATCACTCTGGTATCGATATAGTCTCATTTGCATATAATTCTGATATCGACTGCATAATTTTCATGTAATTCTGATATTGATACAACCTCATTTGCATATCATTGTGGTATTGATACAACCTCATTTGCATATCATTCTGATATTGGTGCAATCTCCTTTGTGTCTCATCCTGATATTGATAGTGCCTAATTTGCATATCATTCTGATCTCGATACAGCCTCATTTGCATATACTATTGATATTGATACGGTCACATTTGCATATAATTCTGGTATTGATAGTGTCTCATTTGCATATAATTTGGATATTGGCATCACCTCATTCGCATATAATTTGGATATTGGCGTCACCTCATTTGCATATCACTGATATTGACAGATACTCATTTGCATATAGTTCTGCTATCGATACCACCTCATTTGCATATCATTTAGATATTGACACTGCCTCATTTGCATATAATTCTGGTATTGATACAACTTCATTTGCATATCATACTGATATTGACAGATACTCATTTGCATATAATTCTGGTATTGATACAACCTCATTTGCATATCACTGATATTGACAGATACTCATTTGCATATAGTTCTGCTATCGATACCACCTCATTTGCATATCATTCTGATATTGATGCGGTCTTCGTTGCATATAATTGATATTGATTAGTGCCTCCTTTGCATATAATTTGCATATTGACCCCGCCTCATTTGCGTTTCACTCTGCTATCGATGGCGCCTCAAATCTGGGGGGGGGGAAACTCGGCAGGGAAAAATTTGGGAGGGAAAATTCAGGATGGAAAATTTGGGAATAAAAACTCGGGATGGAAAATTTGGGATTTAAAACTCAGGATTTGGGATTTTGGGATTTAAAACTCAGGATTTGGGATTTTGGGATTTGAAGGAAATCCCAGCTCTGAGGATTTTGGGGATTCGAAGGAAGGAAAAGCCCCATGGCCCAATTATTCCAGGAAAATCTTGGCATTCCCAGGAAGGATCCGAGCCCCTAATCCCGGTTTTTGCTGGGCCGGGATTAGCGGGGTCTGGTTTAGCCGGGCCCGAGACTCCCTCTTGAGCGCAAGGCGGGAAGTGCACGAGAGGCAGCTCCAAAATTCCTGAAAAACCGGAGCCTGGAGCGCCTCGGGAATTTTGGGAAGGGAATTCTCGGGAACGTGGCAAGGCTTAGGCCTGGCTTAAGCAAAGACCTCAGTGGGAATTGTTCGGGGCGAAGGATTTAGGAATTGAGGAGTTTAAATCCCGATTTTCTGGAGCCTGGCCTTGATTCCAGGAGGAATTCCCTCTGTTCCAGGACTGGGACCGGGATTAGGAGCAGGACCAGGATTAAGAGCAGGATGGGGATTAGGAACCGAACCAGGATTTGGATCAGGAGCAGACCTGGGATTAGAACCAGGATTACGAGCAGGATCAGAACCAGGATTTGAATCAGGATTAGGATCAGGAGTAGAACCAGGACTAGGATCAGGATTAGGAACAGGAGCAGGAATAGAACCAGGATTAGGATCAGAACCGGGATTTGAACCAGGATTAGGACCAGAACCGGGAATAGAACCAGGATTAGGACCAGAACCGGGAATAGAACCAGGATTAGGATCAGAACCGGGAATAGAACCAGGATTAGGATCAGGATCAGAACTGGGAATAGAACCAGGATTAGGATCAGAACTGGGAATAGAACCAAGATTAGGATCAGAACCGGGATTTGAACCAGGATTAGGATCAGAATCAGGATTAGGATCAGAACCGGGAATAGAACCAGGATTAGGATCAGAACCGGGAATAGAACCAGGATTAGGATCAGGAGCAGGATTAGGAGCAGGACCAGGATTAGGAGCAGGATGGGGATTAGGAACCGAACCAAGATTTGGATCAGGAGCAGACCTGGGATTAGAACCAGGATTAGGATCAGAACCGGGAATAGAACCAGGATTAGGAACAGAACCGGGATTTGAACCAGGATTAGGATCAGAACGGGGATTAGAACCAGGATTAGGATCAGAACTGG